AAAATACTAATGGAATAGAGAAATAAACTATTTGACACATCTACCTCTTAAAAAGTTCACCTATGTTTCCTTTAATCTAGCAAAATAAAAAGGGACTCTAAAAATTTTGCCAAGGGAGAGAAACACTAAATACTGTTATGAGTAAAGGAGGCAAGGAGGTAGAGTTGTTAAAAGATTGGATCTGTCCCTATATGCTGAAGATTTCCAAATTAATATCATGGCTGCATTTTATCTTGTCTGATCCTATGAGATTTATGTAGGTATACTAAAACACTTGGTTGACAGTTGTACCCTAAAATATCCACAGACATCTCAGTATTCAAATTTATAACTTACCTTGCCTCTCAAATATCTTTGCTTCTAAGACTAACAGCTTGGGTAATAACACCAATGTACATGACCTCATTCAAAGAAAAGAATTAGCATTATGTCTTTACTCTCTGATTGCTCTAAAGATACATCGTGACCAAAGCAACCTATAGAAGAAAGCGTTTAATTAGGAGCTTGATTACAATTTCAGAAGGTGAGTCCATGACCATTATCGTAGAAAGTGTGGCAATAGGTAGACAAGTAGTCATGGTGTTAGCTGGAGCAGGAGCTGAGAGCTTATGTCTCATCTTCAAGCAACATGCAATGAGAGAGAGCTAAACAGGAGTGGCATGGGCCTTTTAAACTCCTCCAAGAAGGCCACACATCCTAATACCTCCTAAATAGTTCTACCAACTGGGAATCAAACATTCAAATATATGAGCCTGTGGGGGAGGCATTCTCATTCAAGATACCATAGTGTTTGTGTGTGTGTGTGTGTGTGTGTGTGTGTGTATTTCTCTGTCTTTGTCTCTCTGACTCTGAATCTGTATTTGTTTCTGTCTCTCTATCTCTGTCTCTCTGTCTGTCTGTCTGTCTGTCTGTCTCTCTCTCTCTCTCATACACACACACACATGCACGCAAGTACAACCCCAGAACAAAACAAAGCCTGATCACATGGTGCTGCCAGTGTATCCTTCTAAATGACACTTGGATATGTCCTTTTCTTTCTGCCTTCATTGAGAGGACCTGCATTCAGACACTCATAGTAACTTATCTATCTAGACTACTTTGAGTGCTTCATCTTTGCTTCCTTGTTCTCATTCTGTAAAGACCACATCCTTCTCATAAATATGGAAATACCATTCTTTTCCTTAGTCCAGAAATCAATAAGGGCTGGCACTCTGCAGAAATAGCTGGCACCTTATTGAGTAAGAGAGATTCAAAGATTGCAGACATATGATTTCTCCAAGATTGATTTCTTTTTTGTTTTCCTACTGCAAATTCAACAGAATATTATTAAAATGTTTGAGCTTCTGAACAAAAGCACAGAATTACGCCAGCAGGAACAATGGGAAGGTTGTGTTTCATTTTCCTTGACTGTCTGAGGTTGACAGAAGGGAAGGAACTTATTTAACATCAGATTGAATTACTGTAGACCCACATCTCAGATCCTGTTCTCTGTATTACAGAAACTATTGTGAAGCTTCATTTAGATACAGCATTTAAACATTTTGCAGCACTGTAACCCATTTTCTAGACTGCTGTGGCATGATTTCTTTCCTTTCACCTGATTTTTCTGTTTTGCTTTGTATTTCTTGCACCTGCATGCTAACCAATGAGATTAGGAAGAAAATCTGATTTTAATAAAGGGATATTTGATTGTGTGCTGATTTTCAAGTGAGGCTTTTGGGAGTACCAGAGGTTTTTTTTTTGTTTTGGTTTTTGTTTTTTTTTTGGCAATGCTTAGGGGATCACTTGTGTGTTTCAGTCATTGTAAAGTCCCAAGTGAGAAAGACTCTGAATGCCAGGCCCTGTTTTAACAAGATAGCTATGCTCTTGTGGAGTACGTGGGCCCACAATGCTGATGGATTTAAAATAATATTATATTGTAATTTTTTTGAGAACTACTGTGCTTCAGGAATGAATTTACTAATTGCTCTTGAATTGACTATTCCAATTAAACAATAATTCTATGGTTTTGTGTTTATATTTGTTTGTATCCTCTTCATAATGATAATGATAAAAATGATAAGAAAAGAAGATCCAGGCTGTCATTTAAATATGGTAATTAGAATACAGATTGTCTATAATTAGCTAGTGGTATAACAAATAGTGTCTAAGGCTGAAATTTTATAGATTTTTTTGCTTATGTATTAGTGTAGGTAGGTCAAGTCCACATAAAGGGTTCTATCCTTTTATGGACAAGGAATATAAGACATAGATTTGCAGAAGGTATATTGTCACTAGGGATATAGATTTCCTGTTTAGTTGATTTGAATTCTAAATCATTTGGTCTTGATGCTGTTGGTGCATGGGATGGAGTGCTTGATTTCTGAGGGCAGGATACCAGAATCTTAAAACGGCACATAGAAATCCATATAAAACAGCAGATTATATTGAAAAGTGACAATATATATCACTGTGACATTTCCCAGAGGGCAGTCTTCCAGTTTCAGACATGGAGAGAAATAATAGGGACTTGGAAGCAAGGAAAGTGGTACTTCTCACTTGACTGTTTTTTCTATGGTGCCTAGAAATGGCTGACATAACTTATGATGTCATTCTTTAGCATGAAAAAATATAAGATCTCCCATAAATTTGTTGACCTGAGACAAGATGTAAAATATTAAACAACTAAAACCTCCTCACCTTTTCAAATTCCTGGTTGTGCTCTTTACTCTAATGGACTTCTATATCTTTCTGTATACATCAGTCTTGTTCCTTAAAGTGTGGAACCCAGCCTAGAATATGAACATTATTTGAAAGATTATTAGAACTGCAAACTCCCAGGCTACATTCTAGGGCTGCTGAACCAGGGTTTGGATTCTAATAAGGCGGTAGGCATTCACATACTCTCATTAAAGTATAAAAACCACAACTTGAATCTGTATATTGAAGCTCTGTCATCATTAGCTAGAAGGGCAACAGCTGCCTTGAAAACATCTTCAGGCTTAGGAGACAGAACAAGGGAAAATCACTCAGGTCTGAATGCAAGTGTGGGTGACCCAGGAAGGCCCTTTTCAGTCCTGATTATTTAGGAGTTGCCTAGAAGTGGGAAGTATGAATTTTGGGTCAGCAATTTGTATTGACCCTGGAGACTCCTTGCTTTGTGTGGAGCCATGTGGTTGGAGCAGGGCCATAGAAAACCTTATTAATTTTGAAGCCATAGGAAGGGACTTGGATGTCTAAGTCTATGGGTGACACAATTGAGAGGTACCCTAAATATTCAAGGCAATGTTTGGTTGGGTGAAAGATATTCTAACTCTTCTCAGGAGTGTGATGGAAATTGTGGTAGTGGGACCATTAACATTTTAGAAGGAAACCAGAGTGAAACATGTGTTTACTTATCTGTAAAAGCAATACTATAAACTTTTTTAAGGCTTAATAATGTTTCAATTGAAACACCTTCTAGCCTCTATCAGCAAACAGCAAACAAGTGGATGTGGATGTGAGAATTCTTTGAACAACATTCTACAAAACCAGGATACAAGTTTCCTTGATGAACTAAAATTACTATCTGATGTGCTTTGGGTAACACATGGTGACTGTTGGAAGAACCAAATTTGTAATTCTGTGTCTGTTGCCATCACCTGGTTGATACTGTAGTTGCCCAAAAGCAATCCTGAAAATAAACCCAATAGATTTCCATCTTTGAGCTTATATCCCAGCTTCATCATCTGTAAACAGGAAACAGACCTGAAAGTTCTTTCTCTGCCTACCTCACTACCCCTAGTAGTGAGATATCTCTCTTTCATTAGATTCCTCTCTAATGAAATAGTGAATAAAAATGTTTTTAAAGGTGTTTTATTCATGTATTTGTGGTGTATGTGCACACACGAGTGCATGTATGTGTTTGTGTGTTGGTATTTGCATATGAGTGTGGCCAGAAAACATTGGATCTTCTGGAGGAAGACTTTCAGGGAGCTATGAACTGCCCAATGTGGGCTCTGAGAACCTAACTCAGAACCTCTGGAAGAGCAACAAGCACTCTCAACTGCTGAGCCATCTCTCCAGTCCCGCAAAAGTGATTTTATAAGTGACAATTGAAGCACACATGAGGAAAGAGCCACCCCACTGTTTGTTGTTTTCTCGTGAGTGTGTGTTCACCTGTGCTTTTGTTTTAGTTTGTGCCTGCCCTCCCCTCAGCTTTGCAGCTTTCATGATTAACCAATGATTTGTGGAAAGCCAGCTCTGCCACTCCCTGCTCCCTATACCCCTGACACCTTCCAGCCTCTTCCATGCAGACACACTGCTGTGATTTCATTTTTCAGTTCCACAAGTAAGGGGGAGATGTGGGATTTTATATTAGGAAACATTTCTGAAGAGGCAAATAATTTCCTTTGGAAAGAGATTTCTTTTCTCTTCCAAAAATTCATATCTGTTGGTTAAAATTGATGTGACTTTATTTTTTTGGCTAGAACTCTGCAGTATTCCACTGAGCCGTAATTATTCCTTTGGTGATGCAGGAGTTTACTGAGAGATAGGAACTAAATCTAAGAGAGTGAATCCATCTGGTACATAAGCTGAAGCTTTCTCTAAGGCCACTGACACTGAAATGTTAATGCTAGATTTTTATCTTCTGGTATCACTTAGATATTGATATAATGTGAGCTCAAGCCCTGGGTCACTGAACCAAAGGCTGAATTCCATTTCCTTACACGGCATTGGATACCCCACACAGTGGATTCATGGCTTCTTTGTCAGAGCAAGATGGTAAGATAGGCCTTGCTTTCTAATCCTGTCATCTAATTTTTAGATCCCAAATGATCAGAAAAAATCAGCAGCTAGAAGACCCAGGGCCTCCCAATACCTGTAGTATCTGGAACTATGTTGGCAAGATAACTGAGTCCTCCTGTCACCCACTAGGTTAGTAACACTAGATTAGTCTGAAACCCCCAGTGGTAAATGATCTTGAAAATCATTTTCCTAGGAGACTCACTTTGAAACCTTCGTTTTTACATTATGGTGAAGCTATGGATCCCACTGGAATGCTATCCTGTTTGGTTGGAGCTCTGGAATTTATCCTAACCTATGGTAAGCCTTCCCTGCAATAGTAAACTCATTGTCTCTAACTGGATGTAAGTTCCTTTTCACAAACACAGGTTGGCAGAGCTGTTGCCATTAGAGCACTGGATGTCCATCATTTTGTGGGGTCCAGGTAGGGAGTTGTACTCCATGACATCTGTAGGATGAAACCATTTCTTCTTGTGCTGGTCAGATAGTGCTATTAACAGTGTGTGCCCAGTGCAGAGTCATCCTGAATCTTAAGATGACATGAAAAACTACCTATAAAATGAAGTCTCTCTCAGAGGAAGGCACAGTCTGTAAAATAACTGTTTTGCATGATATGGCATAACTTATGTCAGGGCACAGCTTGATCTCAACAATATCTTACTTTTCACTTGAGACTGAGTCCAAGTCCCTGCCTATGCCTGCCTGGAAGAATCCAGCAAAGAAAACACAAGGGGATTTACTGCTCTCCGATGAAATAAAATGCTCTGAGCTACCAAACAGCTGACTCTTCAGATTTATTAACAAAATCTGGCTGATTTTAGCTTTTTGACATTTTTTCCCTTTTGCTTTGTAGTCCAGTGTGAAAGAGATTCTCCAGGGCAAATTGTCAATGGGAGGAATTTAGAGCAGCCATTTGTCATCTGTACATGGCTGAGGAAAAGTCAATAAAAGGATTACTAACATTTTCTAAAAATAAGCTATTGAGGAGGGCCATTGATTATTTTCCAAATATCTTCCACCTTTATCAAAGGATATTATTCTCACCAAAGAGGAATCACAATTGTTATATATTTTAAACTAACTTCCCTCACTGGTTTTCTTAGCATTCAATGTGCAAAGTCCCTCTTTGGAGTCACAATGTTACATCTCATCCTTGTCTCGTGCCTTTGCCCCTCTGGAAAAGCACTTGAATTTTCACTGCTTTTGTGAGCTTTCATCCAGATGGCTTCAAGGCCTTTGGACAAACATGAACATACAAATCACAGTTGTTGGTAGCTGCTTGTTCCTTTTCCCACACTGTAGTACCCCTCTATCCCACTGTTTCCCATATAGAATTGGAGATGTCATGGTTTTCCTTTCTTGAGTATAGACTTTGCGGTAAACAAGGTACCCAAAGCTACATATTATTGGATGTTGTCATTTAAACCTATGTAGGAATCTGCTTTGTACTATATCTAGATTATATGTAGCATACTTTGTTTTATATTATTTTTGTTTTGTTTTATATTCTTAATGACATCTATATTATTAAGCTCCCCATATTCAGTGCCTAGGGGGTCTAAGAGTACTATAGCATGAATGCTGTATATGTGTTTGCCCTTTTAATTGCTAATAGACCATCTTTCCATGTAGTTTCCCACTTTTTGGTTGGTGGCTGAAGGTTTCTTTAGTTTCCTTTATATCTGCTTCAGTTTAGCAGCCAATATCATGGACACATTAGTTACAAAGAGTTGGCTACATTCTGCCACATTCTGATTTCTCCTGAGAGAAACAGAATCCCCTCCATTACCTGCCTTAAGCTTAGAACATGTGAAGGGTCAAGAATCACATATTGTATTTTGTTTCAGATTTGGAAAATTTCCTCAAGGCTTATTGCTACATTAAGGAAATGCTTTGAAAAATGGAGTTTTCCTCTTAAAAAAAAATGAGATCTAAGATCAGCATTGTTTGGTTGAGTTTTGTTGTGCCTTGCCTTTCGTATTTTATCTCATATAGTGCTGAACAAGACTTGCATTGGCAATTTCAAATAATTATTTTGATATTTTTCTGTTATATTTTAATCACATCATTTACTACCTGTCTTTCTTTTCTCCAAACTTCCCATGCACCAATCTTCTTGTTCTCTTTCAAATGTATGTATGACCTTTTTTTTTTCTTAAATTGTTACATTTTGGAAATACCATGTGGAACATTATGTTTTCTAGTTACTTTTCTTCCTTTTGCTGAGATAAACGGCATGACCAAAAGCAAGATGAGAAAAAAAAGAGTTGATTTCATCTTATACTTCCAGGTACAAATCCACTATTGAAGAACATCGACTCAAGCAGGAGCAGAGGCAGGAACCATGGATCTGCTCTCTGATTCATGTTTAGTAAGCTTCCTTCCTTCCTTCCTTCCTTCCTTCCTTCCTTCCTTCCTTCCTTGCTTCCTTCCTTCCTTCCTTCTTTCCTTCCTTCCTTCCTTCCTTTTTCTTTCCTCTTAAAAATTAATTTACTTATTTACATCCCAATCACACCTCTCCCTCATCCCTCCTCTCCTCCCAGTCCCACCCTTATAAATCTCTCCCTCTATGACCCCCTTTCTCCTCAGAGAAGGGGAAGCGCACTTTGATTACTACCCTGCCTTGGAGCATCCAGTCCCAGAAGGACTAAACATACCCTCTTCATTGAAACCCAACCAGGCAGTCCAGCTAGAGGAAGGAGATCCAATGCCAGGCAACAGTCAGAGACATCTCCCATTCCAATAATTAGGGGACCCACATAAAGATGAAGCTGCACATCTGCTATAAATATGCAGGGCAGGGGCTAGATCAGCCCATACATGCTCTCTGGTTGGTGATTCAGTCTCTGTGAGCCCCCATGGGTTAGTTGACTCTGTAGATCTTCTTGTTGTGTTCTTGACCCCTCTGGCTTGTTCTCTTCTATCTTCTACTCATCCTGAAAATTCCCTGAACTCCACTTGATGTTTGGCTGAGGGACTCTGCATTTGTTTCCATCTGCTGCTTGATGAAGTCTCTCAGGAGACAGTTATGCTAGGTTCCTGTCTGCAAGTATAGCAGAGTATCATTAACAGTGTCAGGTGTTGGCTCTCTCCCATGCAATGTGTCTCAAGTCGAGCCACGTATTGGTTGGCCATTTCCCTCAATTTCTACTCCATTTTTATCCTGCATGTCTTATAAGTAGGACAAATTTTGATTTGAAGATTATATAGGTGGTTTGATGTCTCCCTCCCTCCACTGGAAGTCCTGCCTGGTTACAGGAGGTGGCCACTTCAGTCTTCATATTCCCCGCTGATAGGATTCTCAGCTAGGATCACCTCCATAAACTCTCAGAACTTCCCCCATCCCAGATCCCTCATCAATTGCCATTCTCACTCTCAGCCTTCTCCTATACCCCCTCTCCCCACACCTGATCCCTATCCTTTCCCAGCCTTTTTATCTCCTCTCCTACCCAGTTCCCTCTCTCTATCCACCTCTGATGACTATTTTGTTTCCCCTTCTCAGGGAGATTCACTAATCCTCCCTTGAGCCCTCCTTACTACTTAGCTTCTTTGGGTCTCTGGATTGTAGGATGGTTGTTTTGCATGTTATGCCTAATATCCACTTATAAGTGAGTACATACCGTGCATGTTCTGTTGTGTCTGGGATAACTCACTCAGGATGATATTTTCTGCTTCTATCCATTTGTCTGTAAGCTGGGTTCTGAGGTAGAACTATTCCTAGTTTTCTGAGAACCCCCAAATTGATTTCAAAAGTGATTGTACAAGTTTGCACTCCCACCAGCAATGGACGAGTGTTCCCCTTGCTCCACATTCTACCCAGTATGTGGTATCAGTTAAGTTTTTAATCTTAGACATTCTGATGGAGATAAGATGGAATCTCAGAGTCGTTTTCCCTTGTGACTAAGGATGCGGAACATTTCTTTAAGTGCTTCTTGGCCATTTGAGATTCTTCTGTTGGGAATTCTCTGTTTGGAATTCTCTGTTTAGCTCTGAACCTCATTTTTAGTTGGGTTATTTTGGTTGTTGGTGTCTAATTTCTTGAGTTCTTTATATAGTTTTGCATATTAACTCTCTGTCAAATATAGGGTTGGTGAAGATCTCTTCCCATTCTATAGGCTGTGATTTTGTCCTATTGATGGTGTCCTTAGTTTTTCAAAAGCGTTTCAGTTTCATGAGGTCCCATTTATTAATGGTTGATCTTGGTGCTTGAGCTATTGGTGTTCTGTTCAGGAATTTGTCTCCCGTGCCAATATATCCAGGGCATTTCACCACTTTCTTGTCTATTACATTTAGTGTGTCCAGTTTTATGTTGAGATCTTTGATAGACTTGAACTTTAGATTTTTTTCAGGGTGATAAATATAGGTCTATTTGCATTCTTTTACATGGAGACATCCAGTTAGACAAACACCATTTATTGAAGATGCTTTCTTTTTCTCCATTATATAGTTTTGGCTTCCTTGTCAAAAATCAAGTGTCCCTAGGTCTGTGGATTTCTGGGTCTTTGATTATCTTCCATTGATCAACTTTTCAATTTTTATGCCCCATGCTCACTTGTGTAGAGATGATGCCACTGAAAGAGAGTTGAACCTTTCTTTTTCAATTGGCAACAAATAAAATGCCTTCTTTATCAATTGACAAGCAAGACACAATTGTGGGTCTGTGTATTAATTCTCATCTACTGCAAGTGGAAACTTCCCTGATGACGGTTGAATTATGCACTGATCTATGGGTATAGCAATAAAATATATTGCATGAAAAAAATAATTAAAAAATCATGGAAAAAATGCCCCAAATACATTTCCACAGGTTAATCTGATCTAGGCATTTTTTAGTTGACTTTCTCTTTTCCCATGTTCCTTAGTTTGTGTCAAGTTGACAATCAAAACCAACCAATACAGTATGATTCATTTGGAACATTAAAGCTGAGTAGAAAGTTCTTAGTTAAGACTCTGACATGAAAATTTTGAGAACAGTTAAATATATGATTGGTTTGGTGGACTGGAAGTAATGTTGGCAGGAAGAAACTAGCCATGGGCCTGGAAGAGTAGAAATGGGAAAGAAAACTAGTAAGACTAAAAGAGTGCTATTTAACCCAAAAGTATAGTGTGAGCCAGAGTTAGAAGATCCAGTATGGCTTCATGCCAGAGATCTTCATCAGTCTGAGATGTATGTGATCTGTCTCTATGTTAGGGAATAAAAAGAAGGCCTGCTTTTGAATATAGGATTGAGTGTGGAAAAGGGGAACAGTGCTAGATTGATTTGTAATATTGTCTTGAAATATGTGATATTGCAGAATGTA